GGGGGGCTAGAGTGGCCGAGCCGAGCTATCGAGACTCGTGGAATGTTCGAGAGCTCGAGAGGCCCCCTTTTCCTGTACACACACAGACGGGACGGCGGGTTTCCGGCTCCCCCCATCCCCCCGTTTCCCTTCCAGTGCTGTGAGTGGGCATAGACCCCACTTAGCAACTTTGATCGGCAAAATTGGGGCGGGAGACAGATCTAAAAGTATTTAGGGGCTCTCGCTGGGGGGAAACAGTTTTATATTGCTTCATCTGAAAACGAATCGGCAGCAATAAGCACTGGAAAAAAATTAGAAATCATTTGCAAAGAAAACAGAAGCATCCTACTCTCCTAGCTAGAAGTGCCTTAAATTACAAAGTAAAAATATGTAACGTAACAAAAAGAAGTTTGCTTTGTGCAATTAGAAAGAAATTTGCTTCTTATGACGATCATACCGGTCTACAATTTTCTTCGTCATACAAAGCGAAGACTTTTCCTAGTGCGTGCGGAAACGGTGTGTACCTGATGACGGTGAGGATGGTACAGGGCAGGAGCTTGATGAGCACCGAGTACACCCAGAAGTTGAGGATGTACAGGAACTCGCCGTTCTCCTTGGCCAGATCGCTGAGGCCCAAGTGGTACAGGGTGACGAGCTTGTTGTTCTCCAGCAGGGTCACCTCGCGGATGCTGATGGTCAGGTAGGACGGGATGCAGACAACCACAGCCAGCAGGTAGGAGAACAGGATGGCCATGGTGCAGCGTCTCTGCGAGCACAGCGAGTGCGTGTGCTGCGGGAACCTGAGCAGAGTGGCATAAGGTTCATTTGCACCCTTTTTCAGGTTAAACTAAATTTGACTTTCTAAATTCTAAAGCCAACCATTGCGCACTGACCTGATGGAGATGTACCGCCAGACGGCCAACGCCAACGTCAGCAAGATGGAGATGGTGTGCAGCACCTGGGCGAAGTGGCTGTGGAACAGGATGAAGATGGCGCCCAGCTGGGGGAAGTCCTTGCGCTCGGGCAGCACCAGGTACATGTAGCACGCGAACGGCACGTACTCGATCATGACGAGCATGTCGGCGACGGCGAGCCAGGTGAGGATGCGGTTGATGGGCGCGCCCGACAGCTCCTTGCGCGTCAGCACCACCACGTTGAGCAGGTTGGCCACCGTGCCGAACAGGCACACGGCCAGCGCGAGGTAGCCGTGGCCTCGCCGGTACGATGACAGCACGTCACGCATCTGCAACAAATTTGATTTTTTTGTTGATTTTTGCCTGTTATCTAACTTTCTCAACTTCTTAAAAAATTGCAATTGATTTTTTTTGTCGATTTTCCGTAGATTTTCTGATATTTTCGGAGGGTTTGAAGAGCAATTTTTTTGGTGTAAGAAGGACCCTTTGATGAGAAAGCGCCGTAGAGGTAGGCAACCTGGACGAGCGAGCACACGCCTGCTCCTGCGGTGCCTACCACCAAGGCGCGCGGCCGGGTTGGGTTGGAGGAAGCGTGTTCACCCTCTCTCAAACCATCATCGAGATCCATGGGAGACTAGTAATTTTTATTCTTTTTATTCTTTACCGTGCACAGGCGGTCTAGAGGGGAGGGGGAAGATGACTGCCGCTGGGTCTGCGTCTCTAGTGGGCCACGAAAAATTTATTGGGAACGCTTTACTCTTGGCCCGAGCATTCCTCATCATTTCCTGAATCGGCGGCGGCGCAGCGCGGCGCGTCGCCGTCCAGTCCGCCCCGTCCCCCGTCCTATCTCTGCCCCATCTCACGACGAAGGCCGCCCGCCGCTGCCGCAGCAGCCGTGCAAGTCGCACGGTCGAGTTCGATTCGATTACGACGGCAATAACTTTTCGTTTTTGTTGTTTTTACTCTTCAGATCGGGGCACAGCGGTGGTGGTGGAGGAGGAGGAGGCTGGCGGAACTGATGGTACATTTGGCGGCCGATATGCCCTTGACAGATGTCTTTATCCTGAAGAGCCGGACGATAGAGACAGAGACAGAGAGGGAGAGGGAGAGGGAGAGGGA